CTCCAAAGTTAGTTATCACAGATTGATCCAACCTATTTGACCAAAAGCGTGTATATAAGAATCTACCCGTGTAATGTGTACGTTTGACAGCTGTCACTATCATCAGACTTATAAAGCCTAATATATCTATCACTCCGTGGCGTTTCTGAATATTCTCTGAAGCTGCGTCCATCAGCCAATCAGCTGCAACCAGTCACACCGCCGAAATTTACAAATGCTGCTTATTACAAAGAAGGTTTATTAACTCCGAGTGTGATAGACAGCATTCGATAATTTCAGTAGATTCAATTACTTAAGGCCATCTTTCGGGTAATGAACGTTGTCAATGAATATTTGTGTAGATAGGGTACTTGTTTCTCACCATTGTTTAAATATTAGATATTTAGACAATGCTTTATTTATAAATTGCATTGTCTAAATGCCATCTATAAAGATATAGACTATCTATAGATATAGACTACCCCCTTTGTATATAGGCTAACCTACAAAGCTATCCCTATATCCATAGCAAAGATGCTATGGATATTGTCTAAAGATAAAGACAATGCTATGGACTAACAATGGAGGTAGTGCGAATTTGTTATTGGATGAAAGATGTCGCAGGTAAACTTTTCCAGAAGCATTATTCACAGATTAATGGAATGAATACTCCAAAAAAACTGACTTGAACAGCGTTTCTAGGAGAGAAGCTCAGTCACAGAAGAATTTTAGGGATCAATTTCCAAACAATGAATTGATGAATGTAGCCGTTAGTACGTGGTAGATCATCATGAAAAATGAGAAATAAAACGTTCTATGTTTTTATATTTCTTATATTGTACGTTAGGCAATGCAGTTTCCTCCTATAAGAACATTCTCAAAGTAAAAAATGAAGATGACGTTTACAACTAGAATAAAAACATAGGAAGTTTCATTTCTCATGTTTCACAATTTCCAAAGATTTATTGGAGTCTAAAGAAAGGTTATCAATACAGCTTCAATCCTCCTCTACTAGATGACGCCTCCTTATATTGAAATTATTTTATTCTATTGTTCCAGAAATTCAATTTAGTTTGAAAAAACTGGTAGAGATGATAAGTAATATTTATAGAGTTGAAATTTATTTGATTGAATGTGTTTGAGAATATTTCAAGGCGAATGAAATAGGCTTTTCACTCTCTTAAATGGCAATAGGACCGATTAGAAGTTTGAGACTAAGGAGTGAATCAATTTTTCTACGGATTTTTTTTAATGGGGAATGTTTCTCCTGACGAAAATCAAGTAGTTTTCATAAAAGAACTCTAAAACAACGCAATTTTAACTTATCATTTCAACCTTTTTCTTTAAAAAATTATTTAAATACTTAAAAAAGAGGAATGAAATAATGCTTTTAACATTTGAAGGGATTCGTTTCTATTTCACCATTTGGCAACATCGGTTATAGCTAATAAAGGACAATGAATCTGTTACCTGTATGAGACAAACAAAGAT